GATGCAGTTAACTTCATGCAGCCAGTGCAGTTAACTGGTAGTCATCCTGACTAGTAGTTTAGTTGCTAAAAAGCATTTAGTATACGGAAAAAAATGTAGTTAACTTCACTCCATGACATGAAGTTACCATCTTCAGACAGTGCAGTTAACTACCTCCATGATAGGCAAGTTTACTTCATCGTACTAACGTTTGGCTACAAAAACAAATCACGTAGTTAGAATGCTGTAACTACGTCCGTTAGCTTCCTCTATAGCAGTTAACTTCACTCATTCGTGCACCTAATTGCTTAAAATAAAATAAAAAAAGAAGTTACCATTTGAAAAACAGTACAGTTAAGTTCCTCTTTTACAGGAAGTTAGCACCTTTACAAAACACACTTAGCTTCAAAAGTATGTGATTATTATTTTTTTGTTACTCCACTGCATGAAGTTAACATCTTGAGACAGAGAAGTTATATTACAGTTTCCCTCCTACACAAATACGTTTGGGCTATTTAACAAATATTGCAGTTAGAATGTCGTAACTACAACCGTTAGCTTCCTATGTGGCAGTTAACTTCACGCACTCGTGTGCCAAGTTATAAAAATAAAACGAAAGGTACCAATTGAAATAGTGCAGTTAACTTCATCCTTTGCATGAAGTTGCCATCTTTAGGCAGTGTAGTTAGCTCCACTATGTGTTTGCCTTTTTTATCTCATAAACAATTGCACTTGACTATATGATAGTCTTGCAGTTAGCATGCTATAACTACGTCTGTTACCTTCCTCCTACAAATAGAAAAATGGTTATCTTAACAACTCCAAAAAATTTGGGCCCCCTACAAAGAGACTTCCTCTCGACTAGCAGTTGACTTGCTCAGAAAACATTTAGTAGAAAATCGAATAAAAATGCACTCTGAAGTGCAGTTAACTTCCTCCACGACATGAAGTTACCTTCTTGAAAAATAGTGCAGTTAACCTCAATAGTGCAGTTAACAGCATCCTCAATAGCAGCTAACTTGACGCACGAATGTAAAACTACACATCGGAGCAAATACTTGCATGTGCATAATGATGCAGTTAACATGCTTGCTACAAAAATACACAAAACTGACAAAACTTTCATAAAAACACATCCACATATTCATCTACTTGCACCGCTGTCCTGCGTCTACGCTTGTAACGAATTAGCAATGTCAGCCATCTCCCGCGACCACTGGTCGCGCCGAACCTCATTACTAGGGTGAAAAAGAAAATAAAAATGCACACCTTCTTCCAGATAACATGAGTGTGTTGCTGCGGTTAGCATGTAAAGATCCTCAATACAATAAATTCCTTGAAAATACCCTTACAAACTTGGGTGCATTGCTACAGTAGCATGCATAAAACTAATCATAAAAAAGGGTTCAGTTATCTCCCATAAAATAATGCAATTAACTTCATGCAGCCCGTGTAGTTAACTGGTAGTCATCCTGACTAGTAGTTTAGTTGCTAAAAAGCATTTAGTATACGGAAAAAAACACAGTTAACTTCACTCCACGACATGAAGTTACCATCTTTAGACAGTGCAGTTAACTACCTCCATGATAGGCAAGTTAACTTCACCATACTAACGTTTGGCTATAAAAACAAATCATGCAGTTAGAATGCTGTAACTACATCCGTTAGCTTCCACTATAGTAGTTAACTTCACTCCACGACATGAAGTTACCATTATATATTCGGGCAGTTAGCTATGGGAGCATACATAGCAAACTCTGCTCAACCAACCAATACAAAAACTAAATAAAAATTGCAACATATAATACTTCAATTATAAAAAAGTCAGTTAACAAACGACCATAGCAGTTAACTTTAAAGGTATACGAGTTAACTACGACAACCGTAGTAGTTCAAACTAAAAAATAAAAGTTAATCAAGTTTTGTAGTTAACGTTGACTGGTGTGTTATTTAACATCGATATTCATGGAACTTAGTGTGACCACCAAAAAAAAATGAATGAAGCAAAAGAATGGTATCGCCTTGGCAGTTAGCTTGCTCATCGCGGGACAGTTAGCTATTTCATCCTCGGCATGTAGCATGACGAGGGCAAAAAAGAAACTAAAGAAAGAAAATTATATCTTTAACCTCGGTGTTAACTGTGGCAATCCTCGGCAGTTAGCTCTTTTACTTCTAGTCGTTAGCTTGAACCGGGTAAAAAAGAATGAGAAAATAGTAATTTCAATCCCAGCAGTTAACTTGGTGTTAACTATTGCAGCCCCGACAGCTAGCTATTTCAATCCTGGCAGTTAACATGACCAAGAAAATATAAATAAAAGAATAAAAAATATAGTGTTTTCCATAGGGCAGTTAGCTTGCTTAGTGTAGTGCAGTTAACTATTCCGCTCGAGTAGTTAGCACGTACTATAGAAATTCAGGCAAAAAGGGTCAAAATGACGTTAGTTTTTCAAAAACTGCTCCTAAACTGTCGCGAATCTGAAAAAGTGTTATATATGCCAAAGTTCGGGCTAATCAATAGCTTTCCAATGGTGTATCATACACATTATTCCGACAAACAGTTTGAAATTTTCTTTCACAAAAACACTAGAAACTTGCTTACACTAGAAACTTGCTTGAAGATTTTTCAATTTTTTGAATTTTTTTAAAAACCGTAATTATTTTGGGAAAACAACCAACATGATGAAGTTCCGCCTATTCAATAGCTATCAAACGGTATACCATTTGCAGCATTCCGATAAATGGTTCAAAAATGAAGACAAAAAAATACGAAAAACATTGTAGAAAAAGTCCACCCTGCAATTAACTAGTGTATGACTCACAGTTAGCTTATCTATTTTCAGGCAGTTAGGAACGGTTCCTGAATAGCTTATTCAGAAATGAGACTATTCTGCAACCCCCTCTAGAGTTCCTAAATAAGGTATTCTGCAACCCCCGCCCTCTCCTACTTATAGCTCCCTGCGGAGCGAGCGGAGCTGGCGGTAAGCCGGGACGCACACCTTCTTCTACCCCCAAGTCACCAAACCCTCCCCACCTTCTACCTCTGGTTGCCGCCGCGCGGCCGGACCTCTAGCACCGCGCCCAACCTCCCTCTCTGCCACAGATCCGGCAAACACAGCCCCAACCACTCCTCTCTTCCCCGGATCCGGTGGGTGCAGTCGCAGTCTCTTCTCTCTGCCCCTGATCCGGCGGGCGCCATCGCAGTCTCTCCTCTCATGCCCAGATCCACATGAGCACTGCCCACATTCCACCACGACCATCAGTCCACCATATAGATGCAGCTACGACCTCCTTGGTTCGCACAACAGAGGAGGTGCGCTGCAGTGCCGAGTGTGGCGCCAGATTCTGCTCACTGTGCTCCTCTCCTCCTTGGCCTCCTGCACACCATTGCCTTCTAGATTGGGTCGGTGACCACAACAACCCGGCCAGCATGCATTGATTGCAACGGGAGCACAACGAGCAGCTCGAGTGGCTGTGTGATTCACCCTCGGTCAGAGCCCTAGTATGGTGCATGTCTGGTGGCTTTCCACTTCCTCCTCTCCCGACGAGCAAATCTTCCAGTGGCAAAAAAATGTGCATCAGCCATGATGCAGCTAGGACAGTGCGCGCGTGCAATTCGCCCGGGGTATGACATGCAGTTATCCATCCACCGCCGGCCATGGGAGCAGTTAGGTCTTAGGAGAGAAGTGAAGAAAAAACTTGTGTGTGTGCGTGTGTGCGTGTGTCTTTTTACTGCATCGCCGTGCTTTTTGGAGAGCTCGTGGTGCAGGCTGCGAGTTACGGAGCCACGTGCTCTTCCCATTGAAGCTCTGACAACCATCAGCCTCCCCCCACTTGAGCATGCTCCTTGGCCGGGGGCCTCTCGCCATTGCTGGCCAGCCCATCTTGCACGCCCCCTTTGTCTACGCCGACGAGGTCCATGACTCCCCTCCGCAAGTGAGATACTGAGAACCTGCCCCGAAACCAACATCTTCCCTTGATGTGAAATTCACCGAGCAGTTAGTGGTGGGCATGGCTTTAGTTGACACAGTGACTTCCCACGACCCCATCGTTCTGTAGTTAAATCATGGGATAACACAGGTACATTCAAAAAACTAAGTAGTTAGCTGCACATCTCCATTCATTTATATAAGTTAACTTTGGACGCATCAGGAAAAAAGCTGTTAAATTCTAAAAATTGTGGCAGCTTGCTGGGTACAATAATCAGAAAAATCGATGCAGTTAGCTATGAGAGCACGAAGAGTTAACTTGACTTAATCAAACAGTTAAATTGGTTTAGTTAACCTATATATTTTAAAAAGTTAAACACCTAAAAAGTTTGGGTATGAAAAAACCGACAGTTAACTTTATAGTTTGCGACAGTTATATTTGGTGTAGTCGTGACAGTTAGCTATTTTGGGCCCTGCAGTTAGTATGACCCAGGCGAAAAAAATATGAAAAGAAAAATTTAGTACCTTTAGTTCGGCAGTTGACTTGCTGTTAACTGCCGCAATCCCCTCCAGTTTAGCTATTTCAATATCGGCAGTTAGCTTGATCCGGTAAAACCAGGAAAAAACAAAAAATAATAAGTTTCTTCAGTCTCAGTAGTTAGCTTGTCAGCGTATGTCAGCTAGCTATTCCGGTCGGGCAGTTAGCGTGTACTGTAGCAGTTTGGGTAAAAAATTCAGGAATGGGTTGCACAATAGTTAACTGCCAGGACCATGACACAACAGTAGCAGTTAACAATAGTAATGGTTAATTGGGGCAGTAACCACCCCCACTCTAAAGTGCAGTTAACTTCCTCCACGACATGAAGTTACCTTCTTGAAAAATAGTGCAGTTAACCTCAATAGTGCAGTTAACAGCATCCTCAATAGCAGCTAACTTGATGCACGGATGTAAAACTACACGTTGGAGCAAATACTTGCATGTGCATAATGATGCAGTTCACATGATTGCTACAAAAATACACAAAACTGACAAAACTTTCATAAAAACACATCCACATATTCATCTACTTGCACAGTTGTCCTACGACTACGCTTCTAACAACTTAGCAATGTCAGCCATCTCCCGCAACCACTGGTCGCGCCGAACCTCATTACTAGGGTGAAAAAGAACATAAAAAGGCACTCGGCCTTCCAGTAGGCAGAATGTGGCTGCATAAAAACAAGATTGTTGTGTCAGTTAGCATTTTACCATATCTGATAATAAGAAATGGAAATCAAGACAAAAACATGAAAAAACAGTTAATTGAAAACAAAAGAGAATGATCCAGCAAAAATTACATCACGCTTCTTCACTTCCTCTACTATCTTGGTGCCATCATACAGATAAGCAGCTTTTAACATGTAAAAGCCGCATTCGTTAACCCCTTGCTCTGGCATTTTTGCATAGCTACATCTATCTACTAGATGTTCCCAATGGGGCTGCCTTGAAGAGTTGTATGTAGCTTCGCCATACACCTCCTTCATCAACAAAGACATCCTGGACATCTATGTGAAACAGAAAAATTTGAGACTTGCAAATACTTTAAAGAACAACATGCACGTGGAACGTAAAAAAAGGAAAAAGTGGAAAAAAGACCACATACGATTTCAACACGTTCTCCATGGAATCTGTTCCTTGAAAGGTTACGCCCAGTGTATCTCCATGAGTCATGGATATCCAGGGACTCACGATGCTTGTTCATAGTATACAGTGTGAAATGATTCCGATTCCAATATGGGAGCATGATCTGCCAACATGCAAATTAGACGACAAAATAGCCTAGCAAGTTAGCTACAATTGCCTCAGCAGTTTAGATGACCACACTACAAAAAAAGGTAAATTGGCAACAAAAACGGCATGCACTAACCAGGTTTGCAGCAAGCAGGTTCTCTTTAATGTATAACTTGAACTTTTGAGCAGCAAGTTTAACATTGAACGGCGGCCTCGGGAGCTCCTGCCCATCTTCATCAACTGGCCGATGGTACGGATCAATCTCCAGAAGATACTAGCAAAGATAACAAACACATGATGAGAATTTACAATGATCAGTGAGAGGGCAAGGCGGGGTGCGCCGGCTAAGCCGACAAATGAACATAGAAAAAACAAAAAGAATGATTCAAAATAAATCATCATACATTTATCACATACGGGCTGAGCAACACCATATCTCCAGATTTATACACATGGTTGCACTTAGGGCTTCCCTTCCAATAGCTGATCACAAGATCCATCAACACAGTATCGATGCAGCCAGCGGGACCAAAACAAGTAACCAGATATTTAGCATCAACTATAAAATCGTCGCTAGTTGGAGGAGTGCACTTAAACAGAGGGACCCTATGGGGACAAAAACAAAAAGGAAAAAAGATCCATGAAGTAGCACCAAAACAAAAAATGAAAAAAGAATTTTGAAAGAAAAACTTGGACTCACTCTGCATATTTGTCAAGAAACTCCTTGATAAGTATTAGGTCCAAAATTTGTTTTGCAACACCCACGAATGGAAACTTGAACGGCTTGAGTGCACGCACAGGCATTCTCAGCCTAGTTGACAGAGAAACTGGCCTTTTATTAGACACTACCAATGGCTCCTCCATTGATTTGCTCCTGGTGAACATTGTTCTCTCACCACGCAAAACAAAATCATCATCATCACTCAGAACAAGAGGCGATTTCACTACCACTTTGATAGGACTAGCAGCTATGGGCCGCAAACACTTTTTAGGTGCCGGCGGCATAAAAGAATCATCATCACTCTCCACACCACGATCCACAGCCTTCGGGACAGCACAAGCCACCCCCTTTGATTTTGACTCCACACCGCCCTTCTTTACTTCAACAGCTTGGACTGACTTCAATATTTCATCATCCGATATTACCTGAATTTCTGGCGTCTCATATTGGCTCTCGAATAAACTAAATTTAGGCTCATCTAGCCCTAGATCTGCAACACAAAAACCACAAAAAGAAGGGCACATGGGGAAGATACTTGAGCGCGTGGACAAAAATATAGAAAGGGGCCTTGTGCTGAGAATAAAATAGGACGATCAAAAATAAAATAAAGATAAAAATATGCAAACCAAAAAAAAAGCAAAAAAGAAAAAGAAAAAGTAATACCTCCAGAATAACCCAACACCTCACGAATATTAATGTCGAAAACCCCACAAGTAATCCACCTGTACAGGGTTTGAACCCTGAATATTATATATATATATATATATATATATATATATATATCTTTTTGAGAAAACGCAGCATAACTCTCACCATCTTATGTCTCCAGCAGTTCATTCATGAAAAAACCGCAGTCGGTGCTGTATCAAAAAATTATTAAACTATTATCAGCATGCGCACATGAAAAAAAGTCATGATTTGCAAGTTAGTTCAGTCCAGCTATGCAGTTACCAGCCATATGAATATGTTATGTGATAGTTGGCTTTAAAAGATACATGAAAGAAAAATAGTTGATAAAAGCATTGTCTAAGATATTTCAGTTAGCTAATAACACTTGCCCAGTTAGTTCACATAGAACTAATTTATAGACATGGAAAAAAATGATCATATAATCAACACTATTATGGCAATTAGGTTTAATCTGAGAAAAGTTAAAAAGACAAACAAAAACAAAAAAAGAGTAAAAAAAATAATTTTAATCGTCAGTTATATTTAAAAATAGAGATAACACAAGCTACGCGTAAAAGAAGAAGCAAAAAGATGTATTACGGGTTTTCCTGCTGGGGCACAACAGCGTGGTGCAAACGGAAATCGTCAATTTTTGACGGATCCAACTTCTTCTTCTTGCGATCAGACGAGCCATTCCTCCAAAGCTGCTTGATGTTCTTCGCCATCCTGTTTATGACCCTTATGCCACTCTCACTACCAGGGAGATGCCAAGAGTCAAGCAGCTCAAAATGACGATGCTTGATGTTTAACGCAACAACACAATAGTGCCCCGCACCTTCCCTGGTAGCTGGAGGGTCAAAGACACCAAGGAGTACAATGTCTTTCTTATCCAGCGGCTCATCGGCATAGGCAGAGAAAAATCTGATCAAGTGCCTATTATCAAAGGACCCCTTCCAGATAGATTGCTGCAAAATGAAGAAACATCTCTGTTAGCTATAAAAAGCTCATGAAAAACAAGAAAAAAATGAACACTATAATAATGTATATAAGATCTTAGCGAAATATGAAATGGAGCCACCATCTTAGAAGAATTTTGGTATTTCGAATGAAGAAGAAAAATTCCTACAGCAGCAACTGTAGTGTTCAGCATGCCACCAACTCTGAAAGACTCAGCAACCTGCTTGACAGTTGCTTTGCAAAACGCATTCTCAAACAACACCTCATCCCTAGTATTGAAAAAAATACACACGAAAACCTTTTAACAAATGAAAATAATAAAAATGTTGGCAACAAATCAGAAATGGGGGGAGGGCGAAACACAATGATGTCTGGTACATACTTTTTATTCTTGTCCTTCCTTAACCTCATAACAACAAAGTATAAGTCCTTCATGCGTTGCACCGCTTCCGGTGTAGCAGGGGTTTGCGTAAAACTGGAGACTGTTTGAGATGAATCTACAATAAAAGGCAAAACAAAAGGTTGGCAGTTAGCAAAATGATACTAAGCAGTTAATAAAAAGGAAAAAACCAAACAACCCATACACCAAGAAAGCAGCAAGAAAATCGCTACCTATTTCATTTACTGACAATCCCAAGTCATCACTATCTGTCTCCTCGGAAGCGCCATCAACACTAACTTCATCAACGTTGGGTTCAACTTCAGGCTGGGGCTCATTACTATAATTACCGCGCAACGCAGATTTTGAAATTATATCTTTCAACTTCGCGGCTAACCCCTCGGGTACTTGTACATGATTCCCAGAAAGTGTTGCAGGAGCAGATGCACCACCATCAAAAATTGATTTATCTATCACATGAGACGCATTCAAACCACTTGCGTCCTCGGGGCCTGCAACACTAGCATGAGCATCACCACCTTGGTGGGAGTCCACAACTGCAGCATCATTCAGAAGTTCAGAAACAACAGCTGGCTTCGCGTCCTTGTTCGATGCACGTGCTCCGTCAACAACAGGGACTTCGCACACCGGAATAGAAAATACATCACCTCCGGCTCCAATGCTTTCAGGCATATTTGTATCCTTCGGCACTTGTTTTCCTTCAAAACTTGCTGCATGATTGACATCATCACCAAGGATCCATGACAAATACACCCGCACAAGCACCTTTAGGCACCTGTCTAGCATCAAGCAAACCTAAACCACAATCAACATTGTCAGCGACAAAACGGCTTGAATCATCTGAAGCGCAATCTTTTACTTCTAAACCACCTTCAATCGTAACTGACGCGCCACCTTGACAATCAAACCCAACTTGCTTCCCTTCAGAAATGTCAACACTACAAGCATGGAATTGCTGCCCAAGCTCTAGCTCATTAGATTTGTGGCAATCACCTTCGGCTACAGGCTGGTCTGGTGCAAAAACTCCCTCGGTATAATCAACATTGTCATCAACACCATTGCAACCCCCATCAGGATCACCACCAAAACAATCATCATCAATGACGTAGTCATCACTAAAGTCATGCAGAGGAGATTCAGCAGAGGGCTCTTGCTTATCATCTTCATCGTTATCTGACGCATCAACAACAACCTGAAAAAAACATGCACGTATGATGTTGAGGGGGGATAAGGTCAGCAATTAGTTATCTCGTACGAGACAGTTGATCACCATGCGTACATGAATCAAAGAGAGAGAAAAAGGAAAAGATCACCTCACCTCCTCACCCCGTTGACCAGTATAATCATCATCACGCACGGGGGCAGACGCGTCATTCTTCTGCTTGCTAATCTGAATCACAATAAGGTCAACAGTTAGCTATCTCGTACGAGACAGTTGATCACCATGCGTACAAGATCGAAGAGAAAAAAAAGGAAAAGATCACCTCACCTCCTCACCCCGTTGACCAGTATAATCATCATCACGCACGGGGGCAGACGCGTCATTCTTCTGCTTGCTAATCTGACTCACAATAATACGAGCATCATTTTCAAAGCCTTTGCATATCACATCTTGTTTCTTCTTCAAATGGTTAAAAGCAGTGCGAATGTGTGATGTCGCACTCCGAAGACTACCAATGATAGCAACATCACGCTCTGTAGCCTCCATCATTGATTCTTCTCTTGGTCCATGGTCTTCAGGAAAAATGCCAGCAATGCAGCTCAGACGATCAGACGTCGTGGGAACTTCAGCAGCCAACTCATTCACCTTCTGTAAAAACTCATCAATCTTCTCAAATACACCATCATCTTCCATGGCGTTACTAGATTTTTGTACTTTAAAGGCTACATCTTCATTCTGTGCATGTTGTTTCGGAGCGCAGGTATGGACATGAGCATCATGAAAGTCGCGATCACGACTTTGCCTAGCGGAAACTTGCTGGCAATATGCAATCTTGTTACGGGATTCCCACTGAGCACATGTAAAAAAAACAAAAAACAAAAAACCGGTGAGTACTTTGGATTAAGAAAATGAACATAATGTTAGCTGAAGTTAAGAACAAGGCTTAAGCCAGTTAACTATCTATAAAAAACTAAAAACAAAGCAGTTATGAATATAAATAATTTAAACAAAAGGGTTAAAATAATGTTAACTTCGACAGAAAAACATTTCGAGAGATAGCAGTTAGCTCCACATAATAGGAGAAGTTAGCTAAACTTTATACACATAAGAAGACTTACTAAAAAGACAATTACTAAAAATAGAAAAGAACACATATAAGTTGAAAAAACTCACCCCAAGTTTTCCGAAAACATAGCCATCCAGAAATTTCCCACCCTTCTTTACAATGTCTTTCAAGAAAATTGAATTCAGCACCTTCACTATCAGGAAATTTGCACGCGGAGTCTGCACATGCATCACAGACACGCCCTTCACTAGGCAACAATCAAGATACATAAGGACTAGCACTACTCCACAACCATCTGGACCTGCTTGAATGATATTTGGATCTTGCCATCTGATAGTTGCACGCTTTATCTCATCCACTACTAACTGGCAAAAATCCATCATCGCCATATCTTCAAAAACAATACCATCTAGCATTGCAGCCTCCCTGCCTACACGGACAGCATGACCTGGGCATATCATCTTTGAGAAAAGGATAGCAAAGAAAACCTTTACAGCAAGCACGTCCTTTGACTCATCGACTACAAGCTGCTTCAACACAGTCCTTAGGTCTTTCATGTCGACCACAGAAGCTTTACTGAAACCCAACTCCGCCTTAAATCTACCCATTAACTCGTCGTGGCCACTATCAGCTGGCCTGGGAGCTGTGTCATCACCCATCGGGAACCAAAAACACTGATGCACGATTTCTCTGCTGACTACAAGAACTTTATTAGGGCCACAGTCAATGCGCATCGTGGCCATGTCAATATTCTTCATCAAGTGACACATCAGAAGGCGCGACACATTGCCCTTTAGAACCCAGTCAAATACACAACCAAAACCAGCCTTACAAACAATATCTTTATGTCGTGTCTCAAGCAGAGCAACTACCTCAGAAACCTCTCCCAAAGAATAGCGAACAGTTACATTGATCCTATCACAAGCACCAGCATTTGACGTCGTGGACTTTGCCACCTTCTTCTTTGGTCCACTCCCAACAACCTTGGGCCGACGCTTCCTAGGAACAACCTACCAATGAAAAAAAACAGGCAAAAAAGAAGGCAGTTAGCATGCAGAAAACAACTTAGTTATTTTACCCAAAAAGGAAAAAAATAACAAACAAACATAGATTAGAACATATACATTATTCCCGTCGAGCCCAGTGCCATCAACAGAAGGTCCTCTACAACCACCTCCATCCTCTGAACCCTCGAAAGAAACATGCTTTCCATCAAGCTTAACACTCGGATAGACACGATCAACCACTGGACCACTGGCAATGCGTGGACTTCGACGCGGAGATGGATCAACAATTTTACTGGCTACACCACTGGTAGGATGGGTGCCACGAAGTCCATTCTTAATCTTTGCAACAACTACCCTGCGCTTCCCTTGGCTAGAAGATACTGCAGGGCCACCTTCACTCACCGGACCCATGTTTGCAGTTACATTCAGACTAGCAGAGACATCCAGTGATGTGACAACTTGCGCACGGACTCCAGCACATGCATCTGGAACATGAGAATTGCTGGTGACATTTGAGGAATCAACTACACCTTTGGGGAGCCTCAACCGCTTCTTCCTCTCATGAGCATCAACTTTCTCTGGAAAAAAATCCGCTTCTCCGCCTGCCTTATCTCCTCATTCCTTAACTGCTGTGAGACCATATAATCCTGTGTAACAATCTCATTTCCCATGACTGACTCGATTGGATATCGCACCACGCTGGAGTCGGGCTGCACGAAATATTGTCTCCACCGGAAGCTCTACATGGTTCAACATTGGGAGGCACACCCAAGTTGCACGGCAGTGGGTAATTGGGGGCAACATGCTCGGCATTGATGTCACGGCAAGAATGCATGATCAAATTGTTAACATCTGACGATGAAATACCTGCAAGTTCAAGAGCAGAAAATGCACCCGGAAAAACAGTTAGATAAAAAATATAAAAAAAACAACTCAAAACAGCGACTAAAAAAAGAGGAAAACTAAATGAATCTGAACAAATTCCAACAAAAAACCTTCCACACTGTCAGCACCGATATCAGGAGCGCAGGTGACACCATCGACTTTGAATGACTCATTTATTCCGCTGGCATTTGCCTTGCGATCAACCATACCACCCCCTCACCTGCATCCCCATCACTGCCTTCACAATTAATTAGCAACACCTTGGCCAAAGCTACAACAGCAGCATCAACTCCTACACGCATATTTAGACATGGATAGGAAAAGTTAACAAGAAAAATTCGTGATGAACATACACACACAAAATTAAAACAAGAAAGCAGTTAACTGCTTCCATTTCTGAAGTTATGTGCAATTAACTGATATATGATGACTAACCATTTGCACAACCAGCACCCCTTCCAATCGAACTCATTCCGAGGAAAACAAATACCTCACAATCCCCGCTGCCTGTACATGCACACGGAAAATGATCCCAACTTAGATAGAAACTTAAGACTGAAGACATGACGCATAAATCAAAAAAAGGAAATTAATTAAAACAAGAATCAAATTGCCCCGCAGGCATAGTACTAAGGTGAATTCAGGAGAACTGATACTAATACAAACACACCCAACCACTCCCTCCCGCGCCGAAAACCTTAAGAAAACATACCTAAAGAACATGTGAGTTCCCCTTGCAGATCCAACAGCGAGGATGATGACTTCCACTACGCGAGGCAGAACAAAAACACACCGTCTCCTACTTCCGATGAATACCACCGCCCAACGACCGGTTGGTTAGGGTTAGAAGTGATTGTTGGTGACGGCGCGACGACGTCTGCCCTAGGGCGAAGGAAGGAGTTCTGCGAGAGAAAATAAAGACAGAAGGCCGCAAATGGAGCAGTTAAGACAGAGAGTGCATAAGAGACGGTGGTGGTAACAGTCCGACAAGTAGACGAAAATGACGCATATAAATAAAAAGCCCATATAGGCCCACAAGCACACACGCTTGTTAGCCCAACACCCCACCACCCTCTCCCCTCCCAGTTAGCCCAAATGTACCCCGTCAGTTTGCTCAACCTAACTAATCAAAAGCTGATCATCCACGTCTGTCAGCACAAAACAAAAACTGCTAGCAGTTAGCTTGCGCTAAACAAACAATTACTACTCGTAAAAAATGAATTACAAGTTAACCCAGTGAATCAATTGTAGTTAGACAAAAAATCATATAAAAAAACAGATGACTTGCGTACTATATAAAAAAAGAAAACCAAAAATAGTTTATTGTGCCCCGTAAGTTAGTAAACGAAAAAACCCAATCACTTGCAGTTAACTCATACTACACCCCCCCAACAGCCCTGTGGCGGGCAGTTATCTCTGCTAGCTAACACGAGGGAAAAAAGACACTCCCTAAAGGGCAGTTATCTTATATTAGCTGCTGAAGTTGAAACTATATGCTCACTTGCGACAGTTTACACAATACTTGCGTCCAAAAAAGAAGACAAAAAAATTATATAAAACACGTGGAGGCGAGGACATCCATATAGAGCAGTTAGCATTATAATTATAGAGCAGTTATCTCATACTTCTCAATCAGTTAGCCTATGTAAAAGATGGCAGTTAGCATGACAATCATTGATTGCAAAAAAAACTATATAAATACGCTCCTATTACAATGAAAAATGCAAAAAATACACTCCCCCAAAGCATTTATCTCTAATAGCTAAGGCAAAAGAAAAAACATGCACACTCCCTCGAGGTAGTTATCTTATATTAGATACGGCTGTTGAACCTACACACTGATTTGCGGAAGTTAATGCACACATAACACCATATTCTGTCCAGTCAACAAAGCCCTTTTCAGCAGTTATCTTTAATAGCTACTGCACTTAGCTATGAACACTCCCTTCTGACAGATATATTTGCTAACTAAATCCTTGCGTGAGAAAAAGAGGACAGACTATTTAAAAGTTGTGTGTCAGTTATCTTTACTAGCTACTGTAGTTACTTGTGAACACTACCTTCCGGCAGTTAAATCATGCAAAATCATTTGCTACAGTTAGCTTATTATTATAAGCCAGTTACGTACTACTACATGCCGGTTGACTCTGTTTTATTTCCGCCCGCGTGAAAAATGAAATTCCCAATGCAAAAAATAAAAAATTACGCATAACTAACTGCCGTAAAAGACCCGTGTACACCTAATGATACGACATTGACTTGAGATTGCTAACATAAGCCTACATACGAAAGGATTCCCACGCCCCGCAATGAGTCCATCTACAACGGACTGAACCACAAGTAATACACCAAAGATCCAATGACCCGAATGGCAAATTGAGCACCAACATAATGAAACTAAATGGTACATATGTCCGCGAATCAAAATCGTGACACGAAACATCAAAATTATGATGCATTATGACACTCGATTGCTAGTTAATCTAAAAAAACAGAAAATGCAAATAAGACCCGCTCAATGATCGAACTCGCAAAAAACATGCTCAAAATTACGCATGCACGCGCTAAGTTTGTGCGAAAATCATATTACACCAAAAACACACCGATTCCCAGTAGTTTCGACTACGGTACCGATCGAGACAGAGAGCATTTCTCGATTGAAAAAATAGCGACGCGAAGCATTTAGGTTTGCTTTCTCAGGGCAGTTAGGTCTTGTCTTCTCAGCAGTTAGGATGGGTTTCTGAATAGCTTATTCCGGAATCAGTTGCAGAATAACTCATCATGCTCATATAACAACTCATCATGCTCATATAACAACTTAGCATCATGCATCACCGATCATAATAATAAATAACTCATCATTGGTATTATAATAACAAGTCCTACTCATCATCATCGAGCATACAACTTCTACTCGATACCATAATAACAAATCATACTCATCATCATCATAGTCATCTAACTAATCCTACTTAGTTGTTCTTAGCACATGATCATGAGTATTAGCTAGGACCTAAATACCCTCTCTAGGGTAAAATAGCATAAAACAAGATAGGCACTCACTCTCCATTATGGAGAATGAAGATTATCCTGTCTCCAATTCTTGCCCTTCGCACAATGTTGCTTCCAAGTAGCTCCCTACGATTGACCATAGATTTTTTCCAATCTTTGATTGTCATGTCTTCATCGCTTTTAGAAATCTGGTATGGACATGAGTGACTCGTAGGATGACTAGGCCGTAAGTTCAAAACATCAAGGCAACCTTTCCGAAACATCAGACGATGCACACAATCCTTCGGGATTTTCTGTTGGAAAACATAGTAATGACTTCGTAGTTAGCAATGCAGTTGAGTTTTAGAAGAATTTATGCAAAAGATGCACGGATGTCATAATAGTAAAAAATCTTACCATGACATCTCCATGGATGTTACCGTAGTTCAACACGTGCACTAGTGGCACGTATTGATCATAATATGGAGGAGTTTGATAATAGATATTGTAATTCCCAAGACCAGTAATAAATGAGATCAGATGATTTTTCTCCTGATAAGTTAATTCTGAGCCATCGGTGTAGTAGGTTCTGTCTACCATCTTTTGCATATTCTTTGAAGAATGAAAATAAGCTATCAATGGAAATAAGCTATCAACTATTTTGAAATAAACAATATAAATTACTTAATAACTATGTTTGAGAAACTCACATAGCGGTAGAATTGGAAGCGTATCAACAAGGACCCAAATGTCCAAATTGTCTTGGGCGATGTCAGGATCACCAAGATCCATGGTGACAAGCATACCTTCATGAAAATCATACATCTTGCAAAGTGCTTCCCAATTCGGGCAACCAAAATGAGATACACTCTCAGAATTGTATGGATTTACATCAAAATCCATACCATGATGGGTCTTTAGGAAAATTTTCTTTGTTTCCGTACTTTCATGATCTTCAAAATCCATCCTCTTCAAGACATAGCGTCTTGCATGGCATGGGATAAGCTAGTCGAATTGTAAAAGACAAAAATTACACGTTGAAGTAGTAGAAGTTGTGCTTAATTATGGAAAAAACTTGTCGTTGTTGCATACCATTTCAACATCGAAGGTCTCCTGGAGCTTAATGATAAAGCGCCGACCTTCGTCCAGGTGAGGCTTGTCGCACAGACCCCGGTCGTCGTTGCACCAATCGCACTCCCCCGGGAGACTTTCATCGTCCGATGACGACATTTCCTAGGTTCATATAATTCAAAGATTAAACTTGTACAATTGAATATATGTACTACAAATAGATCATTATTATTCATCACGGGTTGACTATCGGTCTGCCGAGTCTTTTCTTGAAAATTCTCAGCTCACCTGGTGTATATATTCATGATAACCCACAAGCACTAGTGCAGAACCAGGCTATAGCACCGGTCCGTAAGGACCTTTAGTGCCGGTTCTACAACCGGCAGTAACAGGTGGGGACTAAAGGTCCCCCCTTTAGTCCCGGTTCAGCATGAACCGCCATTAAAGGGTCACCACGTGGCACGAGCCCACGCCGATGGCTGGGAGACCTTTAGTACTGGTTGGTAACACCAACCGGTACTAAAGGTTTAGGGGGGGTTTTGGGTTTATGATTTATTTTTCCTTTAATTTTGTGTTTTCCACTTAATTCTTTTTCATTTGCTGGTATTTTATGATACTACATATTGTACATGTTATGCATATATATAAATAGAATTTCTCGTAGAACCGATCATATATATAAATATTATATATATATATACATACATATATATATATATACATACATACATATATATACATATATATATATATGTATATATGTATATATATAAATACAATTTCTCCTACATGGAGGCATTACTGCGGTGGTAGCGGGTAATGGAATTCTCCTTTGGGTTCTATGACCTGGTCGAGCAAAAATCCCGCTATTTCTTCTTGAATTGCTCGTACGCGATCCGCTGGTAGGAGCTTCTCCCGCATGTCCTTGAACTTCAAAGAAGGAGATCAAATATGCATGTATTAGTTGTATGTACATATATTAGATATCTATAATGATGTAAAATTTGTGAATAGTGCTCTGGCGAACGTACCCATTGTTGTCTATCATCTCTGCTCCTTTCAGACGCCATCATGTGAATGTTCTCGCAAACGTAGTATGCATATAGATCATTCCTCGGCAACTGCTTAATGCTCTTTACGATAATAGAATTCAATTAGATAATAATTAATCAAGCATGATAACTAATGGTATTGAAACTAGAATTAAAGAGATGGTAGCTAGATAGTACTACTTCATTAATTATACCTTGGGTCGATACCAATACAACTTTTCTTTCCATGGACCTAGAACCTCTTTCCTGAACTTTTGCCAAGCCCTGCCCGCTGGCAAAGAAAATGAATAAAGGAGTTATTAATTAGTTGATATCAGGAAAGGACGAACTAAAGAGGCCGACATATAGTTTGATAATG